GGTGGGCCCCCCAGCCATGCATGGCGGCCCTGTCCTCTTTCCTCCTCGGCATCCCCCGTACGGGGTGCAGATGTACGGGGCGCAAATGGAAGCCCAAGTTAGAGTTGTTTGGGGAAGCGCGTGTCCCGTGTGTGTTCAGAATTCCTGCTGTCTAGATCATTCCTGCCGTCTAGGCCAATGCTTGGCCTGGCTCAGTCAGTCCAAGCATTGGTTTGTCCTGGGACAGGAAGGAGACCCCATTTTTAAGTCACATGGCGCTAACCTTATATGGTCAGGCAGAGGTCAGCACAGCTCCGTGAGTCATCAGTGGCCCACGTTCTTTGTACCCTAGACACAACTCGTCCTGCCCGCAAGCGCAGCAGCAGCACATAAGGCCACCAGCCTGTGCCTGGAGGACGTATGGCCAAGACCCCTCACGCCCCCAGGCCACGTCCGGCTTGTGGCACAGGCTGCGAGTTCCGCTATTCAGGAATGGGGTCGTGCGCCTGTCAGCCCGATTCACGTGGCCCAGACACACTCCATCTCTCTGGAAATTATTTCCATCCATTGGCCAGGCCAGGGTTTTGAGCAGCCAGCCAAGAGGCGCATTGGGTTACTCCCCGCGTCCCAAGAAGACTCTGTCCCCTGTGTTTGGGGCAGCACTGGAGGGGCTGCCACCAGTGGCTGGTGGAGTGGCCACGTTCACTCGGCTCCAGCCCATCACCGGAATAGCACGTGTCAGTCCCGTAGCCAGGCTGGGTTTTGCTTAAGGCCGAGCCGAGAGCCCTCCGCGGTGGGAGCTTAGGTTTAACGATTAGCGGCCTAGGACAAGATAGATGTTTTGGCCTGTTCCACTGTCCCAGAAGGTGATGGGAGCCAGCTTGGGCAGGACACTTCGGAGCCTGGAGTTTTGGCCTGAGAGACAGACTGACTCAGTCTGCCCAGGAAAAAGCATCATCTACTCACAAACAGGGCATCCTGGTCGCAGTATCTGCCGTCCCCGTCCCGACCTTCCCTGCAAGCAGACGTGCCCCCTCACCGTGCTGCCCTTGGGCGCACTCTACGTGGGCGTCTCTGTCGGTTGCGGGCGTCCGCTCCCGTTTGTGCTGTGAATTCAGCACTGTGCTTGGCCTTTGCTCGTCTTCCTTCACCCTGCAGTTCGGAGGGGGTGGGGAGTCCCGCGTTCTCGGCCAGCGCCTGCCAGGCCGCTCGCTATCTGCCGCCTGGCTCCGGCTCCGGCTCCCTGTCTGTGGCGGCGGCAGCGTTCTGCATCTCACCTCTGCCAGGACCCACCCTCCAGCACAGCCTGTCCCCAGCCCTCGTCCCTGGGATTTTCACTTGGCACCTGGCACCGCATTGTGTCCTTGGAGTGTTTGTTGTCACTACTGGGCCTCGTTTCGTTTCAGCTCAGTGACCTGGGTGGAAGGGCCACGGTCCCTTGGGTTGGGGGGAAAAAAAACCCCGCAGTGACTCTGGGGTGGCACCTCCGGGAGGCCGAGGAGACGCGGTCTTGATGGCTCAAGGCCGACCACATCTTGGGCGTGTTGTTGCTGCCCCGAGCCATCCACGGTGCTCTTCCTTGGGGAAACTTCTCCCCATAAATGCCATCAGACTTCTGCGTAACTTCCCCATCAACACAGCATATCTCAGACTTTCTGTGATCGCATATATTTACAGATTCTATGCATTTGTTTCTTTTTTATTAAAGTTCCCTGATAATAGAAATTCCTCTCTTCCTGACCAAGTATTGAACTGTCCCAGTAATTTGGCTTTATTTGGCCAAAACCAGCCTTTCTTCTCCAAGCCCCTCATCTGTCTTGATCTTGACACACTCGATCTTGTCAGCACGAAGCTAGGCATGGTTGTGCCTGGTTGGTATTTGGATGGAAGGCCTGAGAACGCTGGGCGCCGTAGGTCTTCCGAGGTGTTAGTAGGCCTTTTCTTGTACAGCATGCAGAATCTTCATCTTAATCATTCTCATCATCATCATCATCGTAGTGATAGCTGGGATTGATTGAGCACTTACTCCGTGTTGGGCCTTATACTAAATGGTTTGCTTCTCATAATACCCCCTCCGAGAAATCTCTGTAAAGTATGGATGAAGCTGAAACTAGAAACTTAGAAAGATTAATAAGTAAGTTGTTCAGATTTATATATATCTAGTAATGGGGCTGGATTAGAATTCAGATCTGTAGAATTCAGATTCACATCTGTCTCATTTTAGAGTCAGAGTTTTTAGCCGCTAGCCGTACTGTTTTTGTTTAGTAGTAGGTACCCAATAAGTGTTTGTTGAATGGCAGGATTGCTCTCACAGGCTGGCTGGTCTCTATGGCATGACTAATAATGACGGGGATAGCACCCAGCAGTTTTGGAATATTACGGTGCTAGGCTCTGTACTAAGTGATGCACATCAAATAGCCCGTTTCATCTTTACAGCTCAGCAAGGAAGATTATCCCCCTCTTGCTGATTGGGAAACTGAGGCTCAGAAGGACCAAGGTAACTTGCCCAAGCTTACACAGCTGAATAGTCTTAGAGGATTTGGATGCAGATTATCTCTCAAACTGTGTGAGTCTGTTCTCTTAATCACTACGTTGCTGTCTACAAAAAAAATCAAACTCATTTTTGCTACTGGACTTTCTTCTTGGTTTCCCTCTGTTAGCTTGTGATGCTTTTCTTTTTTCTTTTGGTTCGTTTTTTTTCCCCCCTTTTTTCTTTCTTGGTCTATTTCTGCTCATCCTAATTTTTCTGAGAATCCCAGGCTGGACTCTTCTTCTCAGACGGTACCTATCCACGTGGAATTTGTGGACACATCCTTACGTTACAGTCACCTGATTTATAATTAGCGATCCATACTGCAATAGCAGACCTATTCGTCTAGCTTATTTCCGACCAAAGGAATGGAACAGGGAGCCTAGGAACAGACCCATACATAATCTGGGCACCTGGTTGATGTCAAAGAGGGCACTGCTGGGCACTGGGGGTGGATGTTCATTTTAATAAATGCTGTTCCTCCCACTGGATGTCCACAGGAAAGAAAGGAGTCTTGACCATATACAAAAATAAGTGCTCGAAATAAATCTAAATGTTAAAGATAAAACAAAGTAAAACTTCATCTACAAGATAACATAGAATATCTTTATGGCCTTTGGGTAGCCATACATTTCTTAAGACGCAGAAAGCGCTGACTATCAAGGAAAAGATTGACAAGTTGGATGACATTAAAATGGGGAACTTCTGATCATCAAAAGTCATCAGTAAAAGAGCAAAGGCAAGCATGGAGGAGAAGATACATGCAGTACCTATTACTGGCAAAAGTGGATTCATATACGGAATGTATAAATATCTCCAACAAATCCGTAAGAAAAAGAACCCCTTCCCACAGTTGGGCAAAAGAATGTCCCATATTTAAGATTGTCAGTGGTATACAGTTCTTTTCCCTATTCCAGGTTTTAACCAATTTGTCCTGGATCATGGGCACAACCTGGTGGCTGGCCTTGGGAACTGTCTGATCCGGTGGCTCCTGTCATTTTCTTTTGTGTGTGGACCGTGGGCCCTTCCTTCCCGTGTGCTGCTTCACTCAGCTTTTCATTCTGCCCCAAGAGTCTCCTTTCTCATGAATGCAAATGTCTCTTCCTCTTTTCCTTTGGCTTGCTAACTTTTGATCAGCTATTTTAAGACTATTTCTCTCTGGCTTCTTTCCCCCCCCCCTTCCTTTTTCATTTCTCTTTTTGTACCTTCTTGTTTAGCCTAAGAACTTACGGTTGTAAAAACTGCGCTAAAATATCTCGGAGTCTTTTGGGAGAGTAATGCTTGCGTTCTGCCAGAGGCAGAGCAGAGACCTGAAGGTTCATACTTACCTGCAGAGAGATTTCGTCTCAGTTGTGTTCCAGGTGTCTGAGACCTCCAGAGGTGCAGTGGGAGTTGTCGAATCAAGCAGAGGCGAGACAGAGACTTGGTCGTGGAGGGCCCTGTGCCTTGGGTGGGCAGCTGGAGTCTGATAATCCTACCAGTCTTATCAGCAAAGCCCTGGACAGACCCCTCGTGGATGTCCCAAGCCATGACTCTCAACTGGGAGACAGAGACCCAGTATATCAGCATGACTTCTCTGCCCTTCTAGCAGGTCAGGTTAGGGTTACAAACATTAGAACTTTAATCGCATCACAGATACTTAAAAATATTTCCCACACACCTCTCTACCTGCAACCCTCAAGGTAGGGCTGGTTGACAGCCATTGACCTGAAATTTAAATTTCCCTCCTTTTCCTTTAGGCTATTATTTTCCTGAAATAGCAGCATCTATGGAGGTAAAGATTTTCTCCTCCGTTATGTTCTTCTTTGTTTATTTTATTTAATTCCTCACCTGGGAGAGCTTTCTCCCCTTTGCCATTGCAAACATACTGTATTTCAGACACATTATGACCAGGAGAACAAACTGGAAACTCTGTAGGTATGGAGAACAAACTGGAAACTCTGTAGGTATGGAGAACAAACTGGAAACTCTTGTAGGTATGTTTTGACTTTTTAAATATCTTGACAGTAGTTTAAAAAGCAAGAGATGAACATAATTAAAGCTCATTTTTCTGCCTAGTGCTGAAAAACTGGATGACTAGGCTCTTTGGGTCTCCACTCCCAGGAGGGGCTCTGGGTTGGGAGTGGCATGTTCCTTCCACTCGGCACGTGCCCTCCCCAGCCCGCTTCACTCCGTTGTTACCTGCTTGCTTGGACCCCGAAGGCAGTGGAGAGGGGACCTTCCCGGAGTGGATAAAACAGGCTTTTGTGGGCTTGCCTGGGAACCCAACCATTATGTTTGCCATTATGTCACTATCAAAGCCGGAAGTGGATTCTTAGCTTCGAGAGCGCGGGTTTCTGAAATCTCAACGATGCAGATTTTGGGGATCCTTCCAGGGTCCCCCCCGCTAGGATGCGTACGTCTGAGGTGATGGCCTGTTGTCCTACGCTTCTCCTGGGCCGTGTTCGGGCTTTGCACGCAGTAGGCACTTAATAAATGATTTACTTCCTAGGGTCACCGAGTGCTTGCTGTCCGCCTGCTCCTGGACAGCAAACAGAAATGCCGCCTTGCCGTGTGGACTGGGCCTGTCAGTTCCGCCCGAGACCGGATGGCTGCCTGATTTGTCTAGAACGTCCACTGTAGCTCTAGAATGTCCGGCCAGAGTTTGGGGTCTGTCCCCCGGACGGCTCGCCCGCCCCAGGAGCACGGCGCCTCCCACTGAGTAGCGGGGCAGACCCCGCAGCGCCGGCCCCTGCGAGGGGGCAGGACAGAGAGGCGGCACGGAGCCTGCGTTCCTGGCCGGTGCCCACTGAACTGGAGTGTGTGGCCGGTACACAGTGCTTGCATTCCACACCCCGGACAAAGGCGGGTCAAAGTTCAGCTCATTCCCTTTAAAGAAGAAGAAGAAGAAGAAAAAAAAAAATTTCCGTCTTTGGCATTTCAAAGTTTTGACCCAGATCAGCCAGAGGCCACGGAGAGCTCACGACGTCTGGAGAGTGTGTTTAATTTCTGAGGCCCGTAGCTGCCGGGAAGCCGGAGAGAGCCAGCGACCTGTTGGGCTTGAGCTGAAGCCCTGCCTTTTTTTTCCAGGTGGCACGGGCCTGGCCTCTCCTCCCCAGGCCCCCAGAGGTGAGTGGAAGGAGCCAGCGCCTTCTCCTCGCTCCAGAGTTATCTTTGCCCCCTGAAATCAAACACTGCACGCAGCGCCCTGTAAAACTGCTTCCTGGTAGGTCCGCGCATGCCTGCTGTGTAAACATCCTCCCGTGTTTCTGGAACTGAATTCGTCGCTGCTTCCTGGTCATCCTGTTCGGGGTTTTTCTGCACTTAGCGACCCGCAGAATCAGGTTCATAAAGGGAAGACGTCGAGTCGGGCGGAGGTGCTTAAAATGATTATTTTAACCCTAGTAAAATTGCGAGAAGGGGAAACAGGGTCGTGGGAAGGAAAAGATGTAGATGAAAAGTGAAATGAAACAAAGCCTCCCCAGACAGAGTGTCGTCATAGCGCCGTGCAAGTCGCTCTGGGTCCACGCCTCGCCCCTGCGATGGGGACTTCTCTTGCAGGGCCTCAAGCTCGGTCTGGCTGTGGCTGTAGACCACAGTCGGCCTGTGTCTACACATATGCCGTGGCTGTGTGTGTCCCTCCTCTGACCCTGCCTGACTCCTGCTCCGTCTCTCATGACTTATTTGCCTCTCCTCTCCACCCACCCGTGACATCTCCATCGCCATGGCAGTGAGCAGCCACGTCATTCACCGAGTTCACAGGGTGATGGGCCAACTCTGTGCTGAGTCTACTTCCCTCTCGTTCTCCCTCCTGAAGGAGGAGGCTCCCTGGCAGAACTCAGAGCCCTTTGTTTATTTGATCCTGGGCTCTTGGATAAATCAGGAATGTCCTGACATGAACTTAGGCATGTTTTTCTTCCATGGAGAAGGAAACTACGGCAAATGGGATTGAAGTAAGCAGGGGACCATTCCGGGGGACTTGCCTTGGTGCCATGAAGGCCACATTCCGTTGGGGTCATCGGACCAGGAGGTGTCTTCTTTACTGGCATGCTTCACCCTGGAGCCCAGAAGGTGTGAATTTGAACCACTTTCCCCCCAGCTGGGAGCCTGGCAGAGATGCTCTGGGCTTCTTTAAAAACTGTGTAGTGCCATGCTCGTCTTCCACGTGGTCCTTTGTGCTGCGTGAAACCGTGGCTCCTAGTTGCTCAAAGAAGGTTGCTTGGGAAGTGGGTGTGGGGTAAGGTGGCTGCCTGGTCTCTTATCCTCACTCATCTTCCTGGAAGTTGCAAAGTTCTCGATGACGATGTACTCGATGAGTGAGCCGCATGGGACCTGAATGTACGTCTCACTTCCGGTCAAGTCTAGGCATATACCGTGTAAGGTTGTCAGAAACCTTCGTGGGTCTGCCGTCTGTGTCGGTAGCGGTGCGGGGAACCCGGGACTGCCTGGGTCTGTCTGGGCTCGTAGGGTCCAGTGGGTTAGTATCTCAGCTGGTCTTGGAAGTATTTTGGGGTCTGTGGGGCAGGAAAATATCAGGAGCTATGTGCTTTGCTTCAGTGGAGACCTGTGAGTATCCAAAAACAACCCCACTTGGTCTCCAGGGCATTGGGGGAAACTCCCCACCCTGTAGGAGTTTCCAGGTGTGTGGAAGTCCGGGCATTACCGTTGTAGAGGGGGCGGGGGTGGGCTGGGCCGGTGGATGCTAATCTTAGTTGGCTGCCCATGCTAGAGACCAGGACCCAGTCCTCGGCCACTTCAGGTCCAGGCTCGGCTGTCGCTGTGTTTTGCCGCTTTTCATGTTGTCAGAAGGATCTTCTTGGGAACAAGTGACTCAGCAACCTGAACCTCTGAGACCGTGTGGCCTAAGCGCCTTTTGGGAAGTTAACTGGACGTAGCTACCTGGGCTCTAAAATGTTGAGCCCGGGAAGAATGGAGATCCAAACTGTTCTACTCTGGGCTCTTCAAGCTGCAGTTCAGTTTGGTTTTTCAAATTCCTTCCCTGGTAGAAGGATCTCATTCGTAGGGTAAGCGAGCAATGTTTTAATGACGCTTTTTTGTCCTTAGGAAATTCCAGGGAGAGAAAGGTCCTGGTTTTTGGCCAAAAAAAAAAAAAAAAAAAAAAAAGCCGAAAACAACAACAGAAATGAGCTATGGCTGTAACCCTGGACCTGTCTGTGGCAGAAAGAGTTAATGGGATGGAGGTCTCAGGGTGAGGACCCTTCTTTTGTCAGTGCTGGGAGAATTCCATATGGCTCAAGAAAAGATGATGCAACATTTACCATGGGGCAGCCCTGTCTAGGCTCTGGGGGCTGCTGCTCAAAGAGTTAAGTAGTCCTGTGGCTGGCAAGCCCTGGGGGAAGGAGTGAGCCTGCAGGGGAAGGGACCTCTATGCCCCAGAGCAGGGAGGTGCGGGAGGAGGCGGGGGATGGGCCGAAAAGCGTGGCCAGGGAAGCAGAGTGTAGGCCCAACTTTTTTTGCCTTGTTTGACCAGCCTTGGCACTGCCCTCCGGCTCTCCAGGGGAAAAGCTGCAGTTCTGCTCTTGCAACACAAGGAGCAGACTGGAGAATTTAGATCTGCGTCACAGAGCTCAGAGAGAGAGAGGAGAGAGAGTGAGAGAGAGAGAGAGAGAGAGCAAGCTCCGTCGATAGGTCTGCTAGCAACAGCCGTGCTGCAGCAGAGAGAGAGAGAGAGAGAAATCAAGAAACAAGTCATAGCCACACCGGGCACCAGGTTCTGCCAGCTCACTTGCCAAGCGTTCAGAGATCTGCCGGGGCCGGAGGCCTCTGGGTAGCCCGGGCTAAGGAGATGACACGCAAGGTGGCACGGGCGGTTCCCGTGGGGAGGAGGTGGGGTGGCGGTGGGGGGCAGGGGGGGAGCAAGAGGTTGCGGGGTGACGGTGAAGGGTTTGACGGGACCAGATTCTGGAACATTCGGGACTGCGGCACCTCACGGCCGGACCGAGGTTTGGGTCTGCGCAGGCTACGATGGGTGGTCCGATGGGCTTCAGGACTTGATGGCGTAACCTCCTTCCTCCCCCACGTACGTATTTGCTGGAATCCGGGCGATGTCTCTGCGTATGTGGGTGCTCTGTCGTTCTCACCTTCTTTCTCGCTTTTTGCTATTTATTTCTCCGAGGGAGGGTTTTTTTTTTTTTTTTCCACTTTGATTTCTTTTCCCTTAGTGTCAGCTGCTCGAGCCTAAACCAGGGTAGAGTCTCTGGCTTCCCACCTGACCTCCCAGCCTTTACCCCATTTCCTTGTAGTGGACAGACAGACAGACAGACTGGTTCTCCAGGTTGTTGGGGGTGTCAGCGTCTGTCCATCTGTCTGTGCAGGTCTTACGTGGAAGGTAGGGAGTGAGGAGAAGTGCCGAGAGCAAGACAGAGGGACAGTTTTTTTCCCAGGGGCTGCCTTATTGAAATGTTCGGCCCTGGGAATTCTGGGCCGGTGGGAAGCGGGTGGCCGGGGTGGGGTGTGGGCTGGGAGAAGTGGGGTAAAGCTGGTAGGTTTGTCACTGCGTAGTTTGGGAAAGTGGGGAATGGTGACGCAGTCACTGTTGCATCTTGTTAGGAGCTCTATGGGGACAGGTAGTGAGGCTCCCGGGGTCTGTGGGGCCAGCTGAGAGGGGTTAAGGATGAGCTGAGAAGGGAAGCTAGCATTTAGAGATTAAATGTCATCCTTTGGCGTTGGAAAGTTGTTTACCTTGCGCTCTCTGTGTCTCCATGTTGGCTCCCTTCCAGTTCACATGTGATGGCCTTCCCTGTACTGCTGCATCATTAACTAAGTGACTGAGCTGGCCTTCCATTGGCCAGGGGAGGGCTCTCACTCCAGACACTTTCTCTGATTGGTGGGTGAGCCAATGGCAGGTGAAAAGCTTTTTTTGATTGGCCGAGAGCAGGGTATCAAATCTGAATTTGCATTTCACTTGCTTAAAGGGGAGGGGGGAGAAGCCCAGCAGCTTTCTAAAATCTCTTTAGGGGTGTGCGTAGGCTCCTGTGTCTATGCTTGCTTTTGACTGCCCAGTCGAAGCCTCTCCCTTTACCTTTTTAAATTTCATCCACTCTACGGAAGAAGAGCTCAGGGCTCCCCAAACTTTGTTTTTTTTTTTTTTTTTTGGTGGGAGGAAGGTTGGGCAGATGGGTGCGCAGAGGGTTGACCAAGTCGGAAGAAAATATCTGTCCTTTAGTTTGGGGTTGGACAAGGGAATTTTCCAATCAGCCACACCTCGGTGTTGCGGCAAAATAATTCTTGGCTCCCCTGGAAACACATGGGCAAGGTAGGGCAGAGCTGCTGCTGTCGATATTGCCACCACCCCGGGCTTCCTGCTGACTCGGGGCTACTCCCTGGGGACAGGAGATTTGCATTGACGTCCGGGGCTGTCCAGAGGCCCTCAGGAGCCAGTCGTGAGCTGAGCCCAGTGTGGGAAAGACCTACCTTCTGGAAGCTGCTGCTACCTGGTGCTTGGAAAGGTGAGGATGGGGGATTGACCCTAGGAAGTGGCTCAGAAACTGCGTATTTGGTGGGATTTCCAGAAAAAGTCAGTGGGGGGGGTGGGGCAGGAGATTTGGAGGTCCCAGGTTAGAGAGGTTTGGCAGTCTGGGGAACGAGGAGTCAGAGTAAAAACTAGGGCAGCAGGCTGTTCGCCTCTGGTTGGGGGAGGGAGGCCTGGAAAAATCAGGGTCCCGGCTCCCCATCCTGTCCTGGGAGGCCTCGAGTTTGTGGGGAGGGGGTTTCGCAAACCCCGCGCCATGCGCAGGGGCCCCCACCCATGACTGCGCATCTAGGAGCGCAGTGCGCCCTGGGTCTCTGGCCTAGGACGAGCACCGCCCTTCTTATTACATAACCGAGGGCACGGCGTGTGCCTTCTCGGCCCTTCCTTGCAACCCTACCTCCTCGCTCCCCGGGGCCCGCAGAGCTGGGGAGGGTCTGGCTGGGAGCGGTGGAAGACTGCACCCCCACCCCCGGGGGGCGGGGGGGGCGGCTAGCTCTTGCCTGGTTTGTGGCAGGAGCTAGGTTTGAGGACAGAAACGGTTTGCTCTCCCCATCGTGGGGCAGGGGATGCAGAACGTCCTTCCGAGCGCCCCGTACCACCTATGGGCCCCAGGTCGTCTCCGGGGGTGGGGGTGATGGCCTTCTTGTCCTGGTACCCTTTATGGCCTATGAGAGGAAGCTTCTGGAGGAGAAGACCTGGCCACCGAGTGGGGAGCCTAGTTGGAAGGTGGTTGACAGTTCACTCCCCTTGCCTCCGGCTTCCTTCTCCCCGGGAGGGTGTAGGATCTTTCTGGACTCCTTGTCTCGGCTGCCATTTTGGAGGCATTCCTCCTGGTCTCCGACATGGTGGCGTTGGTTTTTCTGGTCCTGCTGTGCCAGTTCCGCAGAGTGGGCGGGGGGCGGGGGCTGTGACGGAGGAGGGGGGGGCAGCAACGCAGCAGAGGCGGGCACAGTGGTGGCTGCCGCAGTGAAGGTGGCCCCAGGGGCAGACCGCCCAGTCCCACCCTCGGACTCGGTCCTGGTGGGGGTTCACTACCCGGGCCCGGCTCTGCCAGAGTGTGGGCATTGGGTTTCCCATGCCCTCAGCAGCCTGAGGCTTGGAGCAGTTCGGGGAGGAGCCGGGGGTTTGGGGGGGGCGCTGGGGAGAGTGGAGGCAGAGGCAGGCAGCTCATCTCAGACGTGTCAGACCTGTGGTTCGTGTTCCCCAAATAGGCTCTGTCTCCGGCAGCCTCCCCGTGGGGACGAGGAGTGAGGTCCATGGCATTTGTTCTGATGGCCCTGCCTTTTTACGGTTTCTCCCCTCTGTTTCTCCTCCGTGCCCCCTGCCAGTGCCGTGGCTGGAGCCGGAGTCCTCTGGTGAGGCTCCCGGCTGCCCAGTCCTCCCTCTCCAGGCCCTTCTGCGTGCAGCGGCCATCTTGTCTTTCCTGCTCGGGAAGTTAAAATGGTTTCTCCTCGTTCCCAGAGTAAAATTCCTTCCCTTTAGCGTGACGCTCAGGGCTGTCTGTCCCTGGCCTTAGCTTGCCTGTGCAGTCCTCACCTCTGTGAGTTTGCCCAGGTGGGCCACGCATGCCAACAAAGCCAGGCAACTGACTTTTTCTTGCTTTTCCTGCCTCTCTGCTCTCACTGGTGGTGGTGCCGGTGCCTCCTCTTCGCTGCGTCCACCTGTGGCAGGCTCACCTCCTCCGTGGACCTCTCCTGACTGCCCTTGCAAGGAGCAGGGGAATCGTAGCCTCCCCCGTCCCTTCGGCCAAACTCCCGTACACGCTGTCCCTCTTTTATGGTACTTGTGTTGTGTTATGGTTCTTTGTGCATGCATCTGATATCACAACGAGGAGCTCCAAGAGGGGAGGCTAAAAGAAAGGAGGAGGGAAACAAATACCTATTGGGTGCCTTCTGTTTGCCAGATACCACGTTAGGCTCTTTCATGGCAGGTATTTCATTTATTTCTTACCATAGCCCTGGGAGGAGGGTCCCGTGACTGGTAAGTGGCCCGGTCGTTAGTAGAGGCCCGTTCTTCCAAAGCCTTTGCACTTTTCCTCTCTGAATCCTTAGTGTTTGCACGATGCCTGTCATGAGGTAGACCAGCAGAATGTGTCTGTTTAAGGAGTTTTGTAAGTCCCTGATGCTCGGTGGGCGTTTGGGTGGCTGATCTTGTGTCCATGGTCTGGGTCACTTAGCTGTTCCACACCTGTCTCATTAACTTTCTCCTCTTCCTTCGTGGCCAGGTTCACTCAAGATGATGGCTTTTGTGTAGCTGACATTGGTGGATTAATAGATTCAGGTATCCCGGTTGCCTTCCTCCTGGAAGAGGAGGAAGAGGTTTCGGGGCAGGGGGCAGTTATAGCATCTTAAGAGCAGAATAAGCTCCAGACAGTCTTGGACAGACCTAGGTTTGCATCTCGATGCTGCCTCTTCTTAGCTGGGTGGTTTTAGGCAAGTCATATGATTTTTCTAAGTCTTCGTGCCCTCAATCAGTGAGATAAGAGTCACTACGATTATTATACAGAAACGCCTAGCATCTTGCCCGGCAGATACTGACGCAGCTCTCTTCCCCTGCCCAGTGGTTTATCGGGGACTTAAAAAGGGAGCAGAGCAGGGGGCTAGAGAAGAAACGGGGAAAGAAAGGAGCTCGTACGTCCTCGGGGTGTCCCAGGAGGGGCAGGGAGGAGGTGACGGGGTAGTGCCTGTCCCCACCTGGGGTAAAGGCCCCTTCGTTTCTGCGTCAGGAGCACGCTATGGGCACAGGCAGTCGGACCGGGGGTGGCAGGGTGAGGGTTAACCAGGGAGCCTTCCTGGGAGCCCTTCCATGATGCCAGGTTAGTTTCCCCTTCTTTCCGAATAATCTCGGCGGTGGCTGCCTGCTTCCTGACGCTGTGGAGTCCCGTGGGAGGGCAGTCGGGCACCCTGAAGCCCCCCTGTCACCCGTTCCGGGGCTGCAGAGCGGAGAGTGACGACAGCCAGTGAGTCGTCAGTCGAGGGCAGCGGGGACCCTGGTGACGGCTGCTTTGTTGTTTTTTTCCTCTTTGGAAGATGACTCAGTGTATCGGGAGCCGGGAGATGGAGCTCTCAGCCGAGTGGCCAGGATGTTCTGTCAACACGAAAGCAGTGAAAAACAGCTCGGGGCTGTGAGCCCATCTCTGGCCTGGGGTCGCGGTGAGGAAGGGCTGGGCAGAGCGGAAGGCCGCCGCTTGGCATATCAGGGTGGAGGCGACCCCAGGTAACGCAGCGGGGCTCCACGCACCCTTGAATTTTAGAGTCCTGAAAACAAAACACAGCTGCTTGTGTTTGTTAGTTAGATGAGCTTGGCAAACAGGGTCGGTTTTTGAGCTCTCCTTGCTGGTCACAAATGACAAGACGTCTTCCCCAGGGCCAGAAAGCCCTTTTGGGATTTCTCACCGTGGCTCTGTCTGTGATAGTCTTGGTGGTCATTGCTTTGCATAGAGTTCGGTGTCCTTGTGGGGGTGGGGGTGGCCCGGGCAGATTTGGGAGAACACTGGGCCCCCCCCCCAGACTCCAGGAGCCGGTGGGCGTCGTGGGGGTGTGGTATCTTAGGGGTCCCCTGCTGGGCGCCGGGCGAAGATGGGGGCGCCGGGCGAAGATGGGAGCGCCGGGCAAAGATGGCGGCTCCGCGCACCTGGCCGCACGCTCGGGGCCAGCTGTTGGGCGTTCTGTGTCAGCCTCCCCTCCCCTAACTGACCCACGTCAGAGCTCCCCGTCTCCCCCTCCTCTTCCTCATTTCCTTCTTGGGTAAAGTGGTGGACCTTGCGTTCTTGCCCCTTCTTTCTTTTTGTTTTTCTGCGGCGTCATGGCGGCCCAGGGTTCTAGGCTTTTCTGGATTCTGCAGCCTTGCGCCATAGGCGCGTGATCCCCCCGCCCCGCCCCGCCCCGCCCCGCCTTCCCGGGAACAAGAGAAGACGCGTCTCCACTGCCGAGGCGCCGCTGAATCCCGTTCAGACCATCGTCCCCTTTCTCTCTCTTCTGTCCCCCTCAGCCAGCGTCGGGAACAGAGGAACAGACAACCTGTGTGTGGGCGAAGGGGCGGCCCGGCACGGAGCTCCCTGTCCCCACTCTCCCATGTACCGGTTCCCGGTCTCGTGCTTTCCCATGGATGATGCCCGCACTGACATTTGTCACCGGGCAGTCCTGCTCTCCCCAAGGACCTCCCAGGGTGAGTCATTTGGGATCTCTGGTAGGAGTGGCGTCTGGGTTCTGGGGAGCCGGGGTCTGAGGCGGGGAGGGCAGGGAGACGTGACTGAGGTCACGGAGAAGAGTGGAGCAGGGCAAGGGATGGGGCCCATCCGTCCCCACCCAGGATGGGCAGGTGGACCCAGTCCCTCCCTTCCAGTCATGTCTTTCTGAGCCTGAGTAGAGAGCAACTTGACCTAAAAATATTGTGTCTACGTGGGTGTCGGAACCGCTGGTGTCTCGTATTTCTTCATCCTGAGCTGTGCATATGATGGGAGCCTGGATTCCATGCTTTAGAAGGCTCTGTTGTCTCTCAGGCTCATTTTCTGAAAGAGGTGATGGACGGGCCTTCTTTGACCAGACCCCATGTCCTCCGGCACTGATCCAGGATGACGGGCCCGTGTTATTTTGCCCAGTGTTGTCACGCTTCTGTCTTGGATGGCGGGCAGCGGCTGAGGGCCGTGGTCTCGGGGCTGCGTATTAGCCCCGGATGGGACCCTGGTTGGGGTCTGCGCAGTTCATTGCTTGGTTGGCTCTGTGAGCTGAGCCCACCTGTCTTCCTTCGTCTTCTTCCCCACAGAGAGCTTGGGAGAGTGCAGCTTGCCGCGTGAGTGGGTGACAACCTCTTGGCGACTCAGGCTCAGCCGAGGATGGTGCCAGTGTGCCGAAGACAGCCATCATGCTGCCGGGTAGAGTGGCTCGCCTGCGTTTATTTGGAACAAAAAAAGGCGGCGCCTGGCAGCCCTGCCTTCTGCAGTAAGTGTTCGTCTGCATTCTTTTCCATTCTTCTATTTCTCCAAACATCGGAAGTGGATGGATGTTTATGGAGCCCAGCCACCTGCTATGCCTTCTCCATTCTTCTCCTGCACAACCCTGCCCTTAGTCCTCCAGAAGAGGGGACTAGGTTGATTTTCTGACGCTACCAGATATAAGCTGCAGAGAGGCTAGAATTGGGAGTTCAGCCCCCACACATCCCCCTCACATTCGGGAGACGTCGACTTTCCCTAAGACAGAGCCCACAGAGCCCTTGTCCCTCTGGGGGGGAGTGGTGATGGGCCGCTGGGAAGGACCCTGGGTGCCCTCCCTGCCCCCGGCCGGGAAACGAGGCTCCCCATTGGCTGGCTGTGGGAGGATGGCCCTTGCCAGCACCTAGCGTGGTTCTCTGCCAAGTTCTAGCTCCCCATCTCCAGGCTGGTAGGAACCTAGACTATATATAGCCTTGTGCTAAGCAGTTCTTATCAGACGTGTCTGCCCGCCCCTGTGGGAGAGGAGCACTTGTGTCAGAGAACCGGAACCTAGAGAGCGCGAGCCACCTCCAAGGGCCTTTTATTCTGGGGAGGGGTGTGTGTGTGTGCACGTGCGTGTATGGGGGTGCGTGTGTCTGTGTGTGTATGCCCGCGCGTGTGGGGGTGTGCGTGCATGTGTGTATGGGGGGGTTGGGGTTGGGGCTGCTTACTTTCCTTGCCCCTGTTTCAGATGCTGGTAGATTCAAAGGTCCTGCCGGATGAGGGTGCTGATGTGGGGGCCGAGGGCCAGGAGAGGCCAGTAGCTCTCCCGCAGATATTGGGCTCCAAGGGGGAGAGACATGAGGGGCACGTGATGTGGCTGAGGGCACCCTTGTACCCCTTTGCAAAGAACAGCTTCCGGTTTCTCTTCCTAGTTTCCTGTTTGCCTTGCTTTGCCCAAGGATGTCTTTTGACCTCTGTCTTCCTTCTTTCGGACCCCGTGCATTCCCTTGCCTTCCTCCACCACTTCCTCCTCCTTCCTTTGATTTTCTTTAGGATGTTCGAGGGCAGGCTCAGCCACTGGCATCCGGAAGCCGCGTCTGCCCCCTCCGCCTTCACCCCTGCCTGGGGTTTCTGGAGGTCTGGCTGCAGCCGGGCAGAGAGGGCTCGGCTGTCCTCGGGAGGGGTTCTGGTGGCGAACGGTGCTGTGCCGGGTGCTTTCGGGCAGGGGAGGTTGGATATTCCCCTTTGCCCCCTCGCAGGTGTGGCCAAACCACCAGTTTGCATGGTTCCGTGACCGTAAGTGCTGATTGGTGTGACACGGTCCCAGTCTTGTCAGGGAATCGTCCGGCCAGGCCGCTTACTGGAAACCAGGTGCAACAAGGAACGTGGGGTTTAACCCTTTCTTCCCTCCCAGGTAAGTCGGGTGCGGGCTCCTCCCCGTGGCCTTCCCCAGCCTCCCCTTGCCGTGAAGGCCATTTTCCTTATTCAGGGGGGCAGTCCTCAGCCGTCTCCATTCAGAGTCTTGCAAACAATCGCTCTCTTCTTTCCGTTCTCCTACTTCTGGGTTTTCTGTGAATGGGCTTAGTAATCAGCAAAGGGTTGGGGACAGGGTGGCCAGCTGAAGTGGTCAGGCTGGGAGGACGAGTGGGAGACAGCTGGGCAGCCCTGTCGCACGTGGCAGTGGGCAGCGCCCTGTGCCCTCCCTCCCTGTGGCGTGAGAGTCTGGGTTGAAACCCTCGGTGGCCCCTGGGGCCCTGCCTGGGGCTCGGGCATTCCCTCTCCTGGGTCATCGCCAGGGATGCTCTTCCTACTCTAGAAACCTTTAGATGCCGCTCAGCCCGGGTCTGGGAGTTTAGAGTTTAGCCTGGGCTGAGCAGTGGGCTTTGGGCTTCTTTCCCTACTTGGGAAAGATCCTTTCCTCTAGGCCCTCATTGCCTTCACATTGAAAAGAAATCCGTGGTCCAGGAAGCCACTGAGAAACATCTTTACACAGTCGAGATATAAATGCTTTTTTGTGTGTGTGCCTTACTTGTTGCTGGTCACAGTCGCTATGGTGACTAAAAATGGTGACGGCCTGCAAGACTGGGAAGGTCTGTGGCATTAGAGACATGACTCTCAGTGCTTCCACCTCACCAGCAAGTCTTGCTCCGAACCCTGCAGATGTCTGCAGTGTTTCTTGGCCAGCAGAGCTGGTTGGGATTAGCCGACAGCAGATTCTTCTGGGGTCTAACGATCCCAGGAGCAAAGCCGGGTTACTTTCTGAGGCACCTGTGGGATCCTGCGTCCGTCCACGCGACAGTCGCCCCTGGCTCGGGTGCGGGTGTCGTTTCCTCTTTCCCACGCTGCTCCCACGTGGCTGTCCGGGAATGACTGGCCAATCCTGCCCCCCCTCGGTATCTCGTCTTCTCTTCCCATTTGAGATGAGTCTCCGAGCTGGCTGTGAGCAGCCCGAGCGAGATCCTCACCAAGCGAGGGATCCAGGGCTGCTGGGAAGAGCCCAGTGTCCCTCCAGGGCAGCCACAGTGCAGGGAGCGATGGCAGGGGGTGTCGGAGCGGAGCACGGGTAAAGGGGAGAGACTGGCTTTGGTGCAGCCAGGGAGACGAAGAGCAGGAACAGGAAGCCAAGTCCCTCAAGATGTGTGGGCTAGAGTCTGGCCAGCGCCGGCGGCGGGGCGGGAGCCAGACGCAGCTGCCGGCCTTGCTTGGGAGCCCCAGCTCTCTCTCGCACGTGCAGTGGGTCCCCAGGCCCGCCTCTGCGACACCCCCACTCCCACCACAGCCCTGTCCCTGGCTCGACTGGGGAAACCAGGATGGGCAGTGAGGGGGAGACCGGTCTGGCTCCTGGTCACGCAGTTGCCTCCCCGGCCTCTGATGCTTTCAGAATCGGGGTTGGTGCTTCCCCGCTGATTTTTCTATTTTTGTCCCTCCTCTAGTTCTTTCCCCCAGCTCACCAGCCGGGCCTCCACTGACACGACATTGGGGCATTGTGTGTTGCCAGTCAGGCCAGCCGAACACTTGGCATCTCTGAGAGGGGCCCGGCGTGTCTGGCGCTTTTCTCTTGACCTCTGAGTCCCTGAGGTCCGGGCGCCAGGAGGCCGCGTGGGGCGCCTCCATCCGGGACCCAGCAGAGGTTAACAGAGCCCGTGGCGCTGGAGCCCCGGTGGTGTGGCTTGGCCGGGACTCGTGGGGGAGGGGCCCTGCCAGGGCTCCTGATTGGTCAGCACCTTCTCTATCCCACTGAATCCTGGTCTGCACCGGGCTGGGGATTGTTTAATGCACATCTTGGCTCTGTCCCCTGGCTTGCGTGCCCCCGAGGCTGCAGCCACAGCCCTGGAGAGGATCTGTACCTGGTGCAGGTCACCTTTTCGGGCTTGTTAGCCTCCCTCTGAGATACGTAAGAGATACCGCCCTTCTCCGCCAGCCAGCCGTCCGTGGGAGGCCCTCGCGCTGCTTTGCTTTTCTGGGACTTGGAGTGGCTGTGAGGGAAGCATAGGCTCAGTCTGGTTTCTCGCCGGCTCCTTCTCACAGGAGCTGCTCACGGGCTGATAATGCCAGGGCGTACTTCCCGGGCCCCAGGGCCTGCGCAGAGCCTCACGCCCTTGGCATGGAGCCTGTGCGGGGTGGAGCAGGGGGGCGGGAATGGGGCGAGCCCCCTTGGGGAGGTGGGGTGCATGGTTGGAGCACAGCAGCAAGGCCAGGAGGGTGCGGGAGGTTGAGTGCGGTGCCCAGCCACGGCTGCCCGCTGTGGCCAGGAGGGACTCGCGTGTCCCCCATGAAGATTCGCGTCTGAGCGCCTGCCAAGAAGGCAGCGCGTGGTGCCCCGATCAGAACCTGTAGTCAGCATGCATGCGTGAGATGGGCGCCGGAGCTCTCGGCCCCTGCGTTCCGTGCAGAGGAAGGGAAAGCGACCTTTGCTAGGGGCCCTCTGTGGCTTCCCTGGGTTCATCCTCAGAACAGCCATGTGACGCAGGGGTCATCCCCTTTTACCGTTAAAGACACTGATCTCGAAGTGACTTAACCAAGGTTTACGCACTTGGTAAGCTGGGTTGTCGAGGTTTGCGTCCAAGCGCTTCTGATCCCAAAGCCTGTGCTGTTTCTTCCCTCTCTTGGCCTGAAGTCAGACCTCTTGTGGGCTAAGATCCTCAGAGGCCCCACGTGAACCGGAGGGAAAGGCAGACGCCCAGGGGAACTCCAGTCCCCGGGGACGGCCGTGCTGCATTTCTCTGGGAGGTGGATGCCCCTGGTGCCCGTGGACAGGCAGGTTGAGCTCTCTTCCGAAGAGTCAGGATCGATGCCCACAGGAAGCCCCTCCTTTGTCCTGATAACAAGGAGAATCCACCCGGGGTCCCCGCAGCTTACGGGAGCCGGCAGTGAGTGGGAGCCCGAGCTGGAGTGGACGTGGCGCCTTTGGTGTGCGGCAGACGGCTTTCCCCACCTGCCGTGGCCGCCCTGGCCTTCTGCCTCCCGCCCCTGGGCGCTAGCTGACTCTTCTTCCTCGGCCTGGTCACCCCGCTCCCCACCTGTCCACTCAGCACAGGGGAACATTGGGGTTCGGTCTTTGCTGTGTCCCTGGCCAGACACGTGCCTGGAGGAGGCATATTCTGAGCTCAGCTTCTCCTGCCAGGGCGCATGGTTCTGAGAGCCGGCGGGAAGGGCAGTGGGGAAGGGACGGGCACCGGGTAGGGAGACGCCACCTGTGTGGCTGCATGGTTGAGCTGTGTGTCTGGAGAGGGTGAGACAGGTTGGCGGTGCTGGGGACGGGGGCGGGCATGTTTTCCGTGCACACATCTACAGGGCTCGGGACTTGTTTACTTGGTAGGAAGGCGGCTGGCCCGGGCTGAGTCAGGCCACGTGATTCTGGCCTCCTTGGCCGGTCACCGATGCCTGTCCCACCCAGCCGTGGACACTGCCATCTGCTGCCAGGGGTCTGCACTTGCACAGGATGAGGGAGTGTGGCCGGGGCACTCTGGGAGGAGATGGGTCAGGGAAGGTGGGGTTTATGCTGCTCAGCGTCGAGGGGTCGGCGGGCCTGGATTCCAGTCCTGGCTCTGTTGGCAAAATCTCACCCACTCAGTTCACCCCTTTGGGCCCCAGTTTCATAATCTGTGAAATAAGGAGATTGAATGAGAATCTCTTTGGAGGTTCCAGCTCTAGCATAGGGTCTCCCTGCTGCTATTCGTGGAGGTATTTCTTAGCCAGAATCTCGGAACAAGGAAAGCTAGACCTGAGCTACCACAAGAGGAAGTGAGGGATCTTGAAGACCTGTCGGCGTGCATTAGGGTGGGTGGGTGGATAGGTGGGCAGAGACAGGTGTTGAAGGACCTCCCAGAGGGAAGAGGGGGCAGGGCTGGAGATAGTGTGCAGGCGGTTGATGGGCAAAGCTCCAGTGTTGGCTCTGCCACGTGGCCACAGGCTCCCTGCAGGAGGCTTGTCGGAGATGGGGTGCGTGCGAGCTGCTGGGGGTGCTTGCTGTGCTGCAGGGGCTGACCCGAGAGACCCTGCTCCAGGAAAGATGCTCCGTCCTGTCTGGCCCCAAATCCTGGGGAGATGACAGGGCAGGGTGGGTTTGGGGAGGGCATCTGTGCCGCGGTCGCGGTCTGTGCCCCTTGCTCTCGGGAAGTTGTCCTTTAGATCCGGCCTTCTTTTTCCATGTGTTATTTGGAGGCCTTCTATTAAAAAATAAAATTAATTAAACTTTGAAAAGAGATGTCAACAAAAGAAAGGCAAAAGCCTAAAATATGTCAGAGCCCCCTAGTTTTATAGCAGCTTTTTGGTCTTTGGTCACTCTTAAAAAGATAGCCAAAACAAAACGCATCCAGGAACGCACGCCCCAGATGCCAGGCCCAGCCAGGTTGGGGCCAGGTGCGGCCGGCCGGGACTCTGGCCTCGCTTCCCACAGCAGGCTCAGCCCCACACGGCCCCCGCTTCTCCAAGGCGACGTGTGTAGGAGCCCCCGGGGGCCGAGGGGGCACGTCGTGCAGTCTGCTTCACAGAAGGCAGGGTTTTAAAAATAACTGCGCTTCTCCAAGGTGCTATCTGCCTGCTGCTTTGCGGGATGTTTACCTGGGATTCCTAATAACTGTGAGCTCACCCCCACGCCCCCACCCCTGCCGGTGCGGTGTAGTGAGCAGGGCTTTGGGCCAGGACTCAGGCGGGGAGAGGGATTGATGAGTAACCCTCACTCACACCACACTCAGTTGCTCTGACACTCGCTGGCTCCTTCGGTCCTCACACAGCCCTGTGAGGGTAGGTGGCATTACCCTTGTCGTTGATGAAATTAGACAGAGTCCTGCCAAGATCTGATTGCTTGTGCCTGCTGGATTGGGGTCACCCACCCAGGCCCCCACCTTCAGCTGTCAATTCCCTGGGTTCTGATCTGCGGGGCAGGGGTAGGAGTGGGCTCTTGGCCAGTTTACTTGGTCTCCGAGGGCCCTACAGTGGAAGGAGAAGGAGACTTCAGAATGCCTGGGTTCTCCAACTCTCTGATTCTTTAGACTCGGGGCTCTTGTGGGAGCTGGCTTGCACTTCTTGGCTGGGAAGCCAGCCACTCACCATGTGTTCCTGGAGAGGTTTCCTACATTTATTTGGAAGCTTCTGGAATCATGTGGTGCATCTGCACGGCACTCCATGCGTGTGCACGTCGCCGCGCTTCTGCCGAATGTCGCCCGCTCAGAGATGAGGCCCCATTGTGCCATCTCTGAGATTTTTTCCAGCAGATTTATAAGGGAAGCCCGAGCGTTGCCCGGCACGCACGCTGTGTGTAAGTTACCTGTGTGCTGGCGGGTGGACAGCACCTGCTGGAGGCTCTGGCTCACGCACAGTGAAAGTAAGATATTCATACCAGAAGCGCCGACGTCGTCAGCCCTGCAGGCTGGCTTCGTGGTTGGCTTGGAAGAGGGGCCTTTCCCGTGGAGAGTGAGGGAGGTAAGGGGTCAGTGTTCCTTAAATGCTGACCATAAGCCCCAGTCTTTATAAGGGGCGCTGAGGCAGGGGATTGGACTTCTTGGCCACTTGGCCTTCTGAGTTATCTGTGTTTGAATAGCCCCAGAACTTGCATGAAGGAGGAAAAAAAATGTTTGCTCACAGCAAATTTAGCCGCGATCGTTTAGGCTGCTTCTAGGGGCGTTCATTTAGGAACGATGGAGGTTGGTTGGGGCAGTGCGCGTATGTGGCTCTGGATGTTTGTCCATTTATGTTTCCTGAACGCATCCTTGGAATACAGAGAAACTCTGTGATGGGGCATCCAAAGGGGAATCGTTTTGGTGAATGAAGGCTTCTGATAGCCCCGTGTGTGCAGATCTGTCACGTTGGACCTGGCTCTTTGTGTTCACCTGAAGGAAGGAGAGGGGAATGGGCAGAACCTGCAGCAAGGAGGGTGATTTAGGCGAGAACTGCGTGTCGCCTTTGCTGGGGGTTTGTGAGGAAAGGTGATCCTTATCCTCTATGGGGTCTTCCCAGTCCGGAGTCTGTGGGACTCTGAGGCCGTCCCTGCAACAGCACGAGGGTCGGGAACCGGAGTCTTAGAGCAAGCTCCTCTGCTCGTCCATCTCTGCAGCCTGGGGGTTGCGCCAGTGTGGGCGCCGAACCTAGAACTCTGACCTTGTTTCCCTTTGCAGACGGGACTTGCAGCACTGGCCCTAAAGTCACTGGTATTATTTGCATGTTAACGAAAGGAGAAAGGCATGCTGCCCCTCATCGATTCCAGGAGAGGTCCCTGAGCTGCTCCAGTGGCATCTGCAACATCACCACCACCCCAGCACTAGCGACATTGCAGGGGTGTGTGTGTAGCCAGGGGGAAGGCAGGGTCAGGCACAGTGTGCCGGGAAGAAGGGGGGAGTGAAGGGCATCTCGGGGCAGCCCCGCAGCTAGGGGAGCCACAGGCATTGCCGGCCATGCTGAAGGCCAGGTAGGTGCTCACATGGGCTTACTATTTAGAGGTAACCCAAAGTCTGAAATAAATCAGGTGATGTCTGACTGAGAGTTAAGTATGGAGAATCATGCATCCTTTGGTGCTATCAGCACCTGCAGGTTGTGCCAAAAGGCCTTGCAGGCAGGGACCTGTTTAGCGGGCCCTGTCTGTAAGATCATGCTTATATTATGGTGACTTTTTGTCTCTTTTCTTTCCTATTTTCCACTCTTTCTTGTTCCTTAGGTGTATGTGCATGTTCATCCATGCAGTTGTGTTACTTCCTCGGGGTACAGTTCTTCCAGTGTCACCGGCACCAGTGGATGTGTGATTCTGATTTGAAGTGTAAACAAACCACTGGCTCAGGCTAGGGACAAGCTACCTTTGAGACAAGGGCTCTGGCAGCTGCCTGCAGACGCCCCTTTGCCCCGTAGTCCTGGACTGCTTCGGCCAGACACCTGAGATGACAATCAAAGGTTGTCTTTGCTGGGATCACCTCAACCCTGTGTCATGCATCCTGTTTGGGGTTGGGGGGGGCTGCTGAGGCATGCATTCCCCAGCTTTATTAGCTGGTACTTCTTTTCAGCTCGAACCCTGAGTAGTGGCCTTGGAGGTCTGAAACCGCATGTCACCCTGCTAGGCAGGAAGGGGCCAGAGAGGATAGGCACAGATAGGAAGGGAACACAGGCTCCTGGATTCTCTCTAAGACAGGTGAACTTTATGTTCAGAAAGGAGCTCATTTAATCTTTTAGCCCTAATAGAAGTTATTTGTATTTTCTCTCCTTCTCTTCTTTTCCCTCCTCTCTCTCTCTCTCTCTCCCCCTCCCGCTCCCCCCTCCCTAGCCTCCAAAGAATTTAATCTGCTGGACAACAAACAATACTGTTATAAAACTTTGAAAACAAGAGGGTGCGGCCTCCCTGACAAGGAGAAGGGCATGCCGGGTAACGGCCCGGGGGAGCGTGCCAGGCCTGAGATGGAGCCGGGCGAGAGCCCAGTTGGCTGCGTACCTGGGTGCCGGCCCCTGCCCGGCCCACTCGCTGCGCCATCCCCGGTCCAGAGGGGAAGGAACCGAAACAAAAGGGGGAGGCAGAGCCGCGCTTGCAAAAGGGAAGTTGTATGTGCTCCCCTCTCTGATCTGATGGGAATGCACTAGACTGTGAAACTTCCTCCTCCACCTCCTCTCCCTGTCCCTCCTCCCTCCTCCCCCTGCCTCCTCCTGCGACTCACTGTTCTTGAGGCTGGCAGACAGAGGTCCTGATAAGAGAACCCCAGGCTGGAATGGCAGTGTAGGTGCAGCCACCAGCTGGGCCGGCCAGAGGGGAAGCAGGAGAGAAAGCGGGCTCGCAGTTGGCTTTGGGCTCGGACCTGCCCTCTGTCTGGCCCAGCCTCCCTCCCCCCCGGGGAGGGAAGTGGCACCAGTGACGTCACAGGGTGTGCCCCAGTCCATGTGCTCTGCCAGGTGCGTGCCCAGGTACAAGGTGGAACCGCCACTCAGAGGCTAGTGGCTACGCCTGGTGTCCCCTTGGTCCTCGCTCCGCTGCACGGAGGATGTGGCGCTGGTGGAAAGGCTCAGTCCTTGGGGATGCTCTGCTCTCCAGGGAGGAGCAGAGGCTGCTGCCCAGCCCGGGGCGTGCCCCTGCAGGAGCTCCTGGGGACAGGAAGGGGCTCTTCCCAGCTGGCACGCGGTCCCGAGTGCGCCCGGTAGGAAACTTGTCTGCTAGTTACTTCTTGGTGGCTGAAGGAGGGGGTGACCCAGCTCTGCCTGGGAGAGGTGGGAAGCCGGGCTCCCGGGGGCGCCTCTCCCCCAGCGTCCAGAGTCAGCTCCCACCCGAGGCCCAAGTTTCACTTCCGAGTCGTCTTCACTGGGTCAAGTGGATGATCTGGGGTTGACCAGGGAGCAGCACTGAGGGTTTTCCTTCGAACGCGCGTTGGTTTGGACCCACGAGCTGCGTGCTGGGCATTGTGTTTGTGTAACAGACCGCAGGCGTGCTCGGTTTTCCTCCTGTGGAAAGCGCTAGCTTCCTTGAAAGCAGTTCAGGGCCGTGCCCATCCTCCTCCGCAGGAGCTGAGCCCTTCTTCGGGGAAGCACGGAGACCTCTGAGCTCGGGCCTTCACTCTGTCCCTCCCCTTCCCTCTGCCCTCTGCTGTCGCCTGCTGCCCCCTCCCCATCCCAGGGGCAAGGGTTGCCCTGGTGCATCCTCCCATCGGGCTGGCGGTGCCGACCCAGGGCCCCTGTGCCCAGGCCTGAGTCTGGGAGAGTTTGAGCCCCGCTCAGCAGTGCCGGGGAAGGGACAGACAGCCTCACTTTTAGGAGTGCAGCTGCCCAGGAACCTCCATACCCGACCCAGGAGGAACCAGAAGAGCCGATGCCAGACCCGTGTGGGCTTGGGTCTGGAGGATATTATTCCCACTGTGGGATTCAGGGCGTGGGAAGTGCAGTGTTCCCGAATGCTGAGCCCTCCTTTGGGGCCAGGCTGCCAGGAAGGAAGAGCCTGGCACAGGTTTCTGGGGACTCTGAGACAGCTGGCTCCGTGCTCCCAGCCACCCTTTGCCCCTCGTGCATACACCTTTCATTTTATCACCCTTTTTCCCCTCTGATTCATTAACCACAGCCCCCCTCCCACCCCCAGACAGCTAAAGACAAAATGTCCAGGACACTGGGAGAGTGACAGGAAGCTGGGCCGGCCTCTCAGTGCATACATACGATGGTCTGGGACTGTCTTGAGGGCAGGATGGTCCCCTTTGGGTCCCCTTCCTCAGGCCCCTCTATCACCAAGTTGATCTCTTCCTCACTGCCAGGCACCCCGACACCAGCATTCCCAGAGGCAAGAGGACACCAGCATTCCCAGAGGCAAGAGGACGGACCATCTGGGCCTGGCTTCCGGCACCCCTCCCCCACCCTGGCTGGGACTCGCATAGGGCACGTAAGTAGCTGTGACTCAGCACTGCGCTGGGTCAGGAGGGAGAAGCGGCTGCCTTGGCAGGCATCTTCCCACGTTCCGGGTTTGAACACACTGCGGCAGCGCAGAGCAGGCAAGCCGGATTGGGTTCCCGGGGGTGCAGATCTGCTCAGTGGGTTCGCTTCTGGATTTCATAAACGAGGGTTCCCTCACCTTCCTGCTTCCCTCCCATGTTAGTTTCTGGGGACCAGGCTGGGCACAAGATACTCAGGACTTCAAAGACATGGAAAGCATCCTTTGCAGAAGGGAGCAGAAGCTGTCTCTGCAATCTCCTGGCTGGTTTTAACCAATGCCCCATGGCATATATTTAACCCTCAAATGGGTTGTGTTTGGCCTGCACAGGTTGGTTGGTTTGTTTTCAGTGCAGCCGATTTTGTGTGCCTTTAGACAAACCGAGGCCTCTCCAGGTCGCTGTATTTCTGCTGCACAGCATGCTGCTTCTCTCTCTCAGGTTTCCTGCCCAGGCCCTCTGAGCATTTGGCCGTGCGGCAACCTGTCTACCCGGCTTCTCCCTTTACAGATGAAGACACTGAGACCCATTCAGGGCAAATGGCAGGTCCCTGTTCTCAGAGTTTGGGCTGAGCGAGAATTGAAGCCACTGTGCTCCGATTCGCCCTGTGGGGACCTTTCCTCCACCCTGCCCGGACAGACGAGGGCCCTGGCGAGAGAGGGTGGAGGACGTCCGTACAGATGTGGGCACAGAGGTGCATGGGGCCCGGGGCTCGGCTCCCCAGCCCCCTTCCCAGCATGGCAGCACCTCTCGGGGCCGACATCCCCGTCTCTGGGTGGGTGGTTTTCTCTCCCGGACAGCCCTGCCAAGCCCTTCGCGGTTGGCCAGTATGTTTGGGGCGGTCAGGCCGAGGTGGGAGAGACCGTCACCCTCCGTGGGCAGCAGAGCCCTTGGCGGGACGGGGTTTTTTACGGGCTGCCTTCTGACAGGTCCCGGTGGCTTTCAGGCTTCTTGCCCCCTTTCCCGCCCTTATCAGACTAACCAGCTACTTCCAACCAGGGGAAAGCCACCAGCGTGTTCCAGAGAAGAGTCATTGCAGAGCTGGCTTTGAGAGGAGAGAGCCCCGGTCCCACTGGGAGGGCTGAGACCTGAGCAGACCCTCTTATCCGGTGGGATTGGAAGGGCAATAGATTTTGGTACCGAGATGACTCCCAACCCCCACCCCCCCTCTTATTTTAGAAAGCGGTGCATTGCTAACCGTTTCTTATCTCTTCTTCCAGAGAGCTAAGAGTTAAGTTTTAGGACCCAAGAGTGGGGACCAGATTCTGGCTTCCGCCTGTTGGTGCCCTCCGTGGCAGTGGCTGGACTCCAGGTGGCACCTCGTGGGTAGCGGGAGAGACATTAAATAATCACTCTGATGATCAGAGGAGATAAGTGGCTTCTGAAGGAAAGAACTCGAGGCTGGACACGTAACCCTCTAGCAAGTCGGGTGGACACGGGGGGGGGGCTTTCTTTTTGAGACAAAGTCTCACTCTGTTGCCTGGGCTAGAATGCCACGGTGTCAGTCTAGCTCGCTGCAACCTCAAACTCCTGGGCTCAAGCAATCCTCCTGCCTCAGCCTCCCGAGTAGCTGGGACTACAGGCATGCGCCACCATGCCCCGGCTCATTTTTTTCTATGTATATTTTTAGTTGGCCAATTAATGTCTTTCTATTTATAGTAGAGACGGGGGTCTCGATCTTGCTCAGGCTGGTTTCAAACTCCTGACCTTGAGCGATCCTCCTGCCTTGGCCTCCCAGAGTGCTAGGATTACAGGCGTGAGCCACCGCAAGCGCCCGGCCTTGGTGGGGCTTCCTTGAGCTGAGACAAGGAGGTTGAATGGGAGCAGGGCTGAAGGGTCACAGCGAAGGGACAGCGGGTGGGGAGCGCTGCGGAAAGAGGCAACAGCACAGGCAGGGCCTTGTGGCGAGAGGAAGGGCGCTCTCTGGATCACTGCGCGAGGGCTCACAGGGAAGGGCCTTTGTGGATATTGGCATTTGGAAGCTGCTAAGGAAACGTTTGACCGAATCAAGAAGCAGAAAAGTGAGAATCTTCATCCAACCCCCTCATTTTACAGGATTTGGACTCCCCATAATAACTGTCATTAAACACTCGCTCCTGACCTTAAAACACGCCTTGTTACCTGGTTACAAGGCCCAGGTGTTGACAGCAGGTGTCACCGCTCAGAGCCCCTGTGTGCAGACCCTGCCCCCAGTGCTCCCACCTGTGACTGAGGCCTCGGCGAGTCCCGCGGGGGCTGCAGAGCTTAGCGCTGATATCAGAATAGCTTGCGCAGGTTTGTCACCAGCATGTCCCCCCACGCCAGGGAGGGACCGCAGACGCCCCAGAAATGCAGGAGAACACAGCAGGCTACCCCAGACCACGCCAGCCACCAAAATCATGCTCCCGGCTCCACCCTACTATAGCACATTATTGCAGTCAGTAGAGGAAGAAATATTGCCTAGAAATCTCTCCCCCCGCCACCCAAATCTTGTTCTCAGTTAAATTAAAGAACAGAATGAGATGATGGGCTGTGGTGCAGGCAGAGGGGCAGGAGCAGAGACTTTGGAGTTAGACCTGGGAGCTGTATTTACTGGCTGGCCGTGGACATGTTATTCAGCCTCATTAAGGAGCAGTTTCTTCTCCTGCAAGAACTAGAATAACACCTGCCTCATAGGACTGTCGTGAGAACTAAATAGCACAACTCTTGCTGTTCAAATTTTATTTTCTTCTTTTCCCTATAGCAACATATACCATGCTGTTATTGCCAGGAGCCTTAAAAAAAAAAAAAAATAAAATAAATGCCTATGTTTAGAGGCCTAAAGAATTGGTAGGGAACCTAAAGATACAGCTTCTGCCCTGTGTCTCCTCTATCCTGGTTATGTTACCAGAGGAAATACACATATTTTCTTAGCTTCAAATAACCAAAAAAGAGGATGCACTAAGGAGATGGGAAACCTAATTTGGAACATAGCGTTCCAGCCTTATTTTCAGGCAGATTTTGAAAACTCAATTCTTGTATTAGAGGATTATCTGCTTAATATAATTGTAGGACATTAGTTTTTTAAGTCACATGAGAGGTTAAACAAGATTGCGAACTAGTGGGCTCACATGTAAATGTTCTGATACTTAACATATAGGGTGGGAAGGAGGATCCCAAGCTCTTCCTGGATAGCTCCCATAGAAGAGTTGCCCTAGCCCAGGGGAAACTCCCCTTTGTGCAGTGGCTAGACCAGGGCCTCGTGGGTACTTATGTCCTGATGAAGATGATGTGTCTGGAAACACTGTGCATACTGTGAATATTATACACATGCAGGGCAGTATGAATGTAAATATTCATGTGTTTTGATAAATAGCTTTGGCTGTTTTATTTCATCATATATATATATAATAATTTATAGTGACTGGTTGTGAACGTAAATAGAATCAGCCTAGAATTAATGAGTTTTGTATTGCTCTCGTCCATTTGAAGCATAAGCTGTGACTTTCATGTTGCTTTGAGCTGCTGTGTCACTGTCCTCTCTGATGGAACATTATGTCACGTCACAAGTAGAACCGCAAGAAGACGTTTCTTCCCGGGGCAGAGGCTGGGTCTTCCGAGCGCATCTCCCTCCTTTCTGCAGTGAGATCCTCTTCTTCTGGAAGCTGGTTTCACATGGTGGCTTAGATTTTTCCATCTTTGTATCTAGCACCATTTGAAATCAGTGTTTTAGGAGTAAGAATTGCAGCACGGCAGAGAGCGGACCGCAGAGGAACTGCTGCTCCCGGGACTGGCTTCTCTCCCTCTTGCCCGCTCGAGCCTGTTCGAGAAGTCGAGGGAAGAACTGGAAAAGCAAAATGCACTCTTGAGTATGCTGGGTCTTTGGATGGGGCGACAGCCGGGGAGGGGGTTGTGTTTGTTTAAAGTAAGCACAGTGGCTTGAGCAGGGGCCGAGGGTGTGACGCTTTCTGTTGACCGCTGGCAGCCGTCACTAGCCTTGGCATGTGGGTAGGGCCTGTGAGCGTGGCGAGCGTGTTACCCAGTCGGGTCACGATGTATCGGGTTATTGACTGTAACGGGGCAGGGAAGCGGGCCGTGTACCTGGAGGACGGTCCCAACCACATCATCGACACTGTCGGCCGGCTCCTAGAAGGATGCCCTGGAGAATTCCGCCTCCGTCGCCGCCTGCAGTGTGAAGTTGCAGACCACTGGCCATCTCTTACACAGGCTGACCGATTTCTCCTGGTGTTCAGAGTCTGTTTTTGTCTAGCACCATTTGAAATCGGTTATGATGTAGGGGGAAAAGCAGCAGCCTCGAAGCCTCATACCAAGTCCGCTCAGCAACAGCCTGTGGTTTCCTGGAAGGTGGATGGGTGGAGAGTGGGGAAGGCAACCACACTTTTCCCTGCTAACTCCTTTAACTGCATGTATGATATGTTATTGCAGAGGTAAGAGATAATCTAATGGATTTAAAAACAAAAAAAACAAATGACTATAATTTATCTGACGTCCTCGGTTGCTTTCTGCTGAAATGTAGTACCGTTGTAAATTCTATAAATGGGTCGCTGTTGAATTATCTTTCTGTTGAGAAGAGTCTATCCGTGCCTCCTGACCTTAATAAATACTTTTTTAAATTCATCATCATGTCTGTGTTTTTCATCTCCTATTTTCCATTCATAATTCCATGATGAAAAGAAGTGGGCCCTGAAAAATTAATTTGCAGTGCAGACCCTGCCTGCTTCGCGAAGAATCTGAAGTAGGTTATGGCAGACAGACACTAACAATGGAAGCCCATTAGGACAAGAATGAAATAAGATGGGAGAAAAAGACGAGGGAAGAGAAGAAATGTTGGGGATCTAGGCTGAGGGCTGTTCCTGATTGAGTGGGAACTGTCCTGGGCTCCAGGCGGGCGGCGGACACCGCCCCTCTCTCTGCGAGCCAGTGTTCCTGAGGGACTTTGCTGAA